TGAAATCAAGGGCACACTAAATTTTATAATCTTGGCCAGAGTGCCGAACATTACCAACATCAATTCCATTAGAAAGCTACATGAATGAGCTATGGATGTAACAAATATATTCCAATTTGGCAAACTCTAGTATGTATAGTTAGAATAGATGCTCTCATTTTATGCATGCTATGTGCCATGCAGTCCAGAACTTGGAACACATCCAACATTGTCTCTCAGCACTTGCAAAGATGAGAGTTCTTAAGAAGACAAAAACAGATACTGGCCCTGCCTGTAGAAGCAGAAGTTTTTAAAGATTTTTGCAATGATAAAACTTTAGTAATTCCACTGGAATTCCTTATAATTCTCAAGGACAAACTATTGTTGAGTGTGCACATTTGGTATTAAAATGGCAATTACAAAAACATAAAAGGGAAACAAATCACAATAAGCCATCAGTTTGCATTAATTTATAACGTTCCACTTAATATTTTGAATCCTGTTGATACAGATAACACCTCAATGGAATTATATTGGTCAAAAGTACAAAAGTATGGGAAAAGTGAAGGTATAAGTTGTGGTGATCCCCAAAAGCAGGAAAATGGAAAGAACCAGTTGTCTTGGTGTTATATAACCATGAAAAAGTGTGATAGATCCAGGGAGGAACTTGAGTCTATCTACAATTTTGGGTCTATCCCAAGTTTTCTGGGAGCCTTCTTCCAGATGACAACTGAAGAGAACTATTTTGGTGGCAGAAAGACTCAGAATCTACCCAAGATGAAATTGTTTAGTATATATCAAGGTGCTCTAAATAGACCCCTGGGCTATCTCTGACTATGAATCACAACGACAGCCTTCTTCACCAGAAGTAGCCAGAATGGTCTCTGCCCATTAACTCCTCATGGCGGTTACGGGTACTTCTACAGAGGATTGTAAAAGTTAAGTTAGTCACAGTATAAGGAGTTGGATAGTGCTGGGCCCCTGAAAAAAAGTCAGTAAAATATATTACACCTGTAGGTGGAGGTGTATTCATTGAAAGGCTAGACTTCAAGACAAGGATAACTTCCTCTAGGAATGATGAGCAGTGATTGATATTCTGCTGTTGTCATACAAACAAAAAGGGGGAAATATTGGAGACCAGACAGAAAGAACTGAGAACTAATTTGCCTCATCTGTGAGCATTAAGGAGAAAGGTCCTTCTGAATTTTGTATTAAAATCTAGACACTTTACAACTTAATACAGTTCATTGGTGTAGAATGCTAACACACTGCAGGTTCTAAGGAAAAGTCAAAATAGCTGAGAGCCAGATGTTTACTCAGACATGTACTCAGATGGTGAGAGGAATATAAACCTCATGTTATTCTGATCGCTTTTTCTCATGACTGAGTGAATAAAATCAGGGCAAGCCAGATGCTTGGGGCTCTTTGTGGAAGGGAGTCAAGAGTCAAGAGCTCCTCACATTTAAAACTAATTGTGTATCTCTTTTGCTACAAAATTTGTAGGCTGTCTCCTAAGAAGAGCATCTCCAAATGATACGTATCATGAATTCCATAACTGTGGAACAAATAAAGAGCAGTAAATAAACTAACACTGCTGTAAATGATAGCAAACTTGAGATGAACATCTTTCTAATAATTATGGACTTCCATATATTGATGAGGAAGATGGGTAGAATTTTCTTGGATATGATTCAATTCTTAGATAAATGAACAAAACAACATGGATATATTTCTGAATGTTGTATAAGACCTAGACACTTTGCAACTTGATACAGTAAATTGGTGTAGAAGATACAGATGAACACATTTGAGCCTTTAGACTATGATAAAGTGAAGACACAGCCAAGTTTGTTCTATTAGAGAGTGCAAAAGAAGAGGCAGAATTTTTAGAGTATAGAATAAATGATAGAAAAAAGAAAAGAAGCAAAGTAGAAAGTTGGAGAATAGGGCAAGAGGTCTGTTGAATTCATTAGGTACTTGAAAAAAACTGTTAAAATATAAATTTCATTTGGAAATAGAAACAATAATAGACCTGCCTAGGACAAGGAATGATATAAATAGTATAATCAACCCTTCTCATTTGTTTCTATTTTGTTTGTTAAATATCTCAAGCCACATATCAAGAAATGTAGGAGCAAAGAAGATATTATGAATATATATTGCTTTTATTCATAAATCCATAATTTATTATATTTATATCTATTTCCATGGACTAGATGCAAAGTACAACAAGGATCTATTAAAGGATTATGAAATTGAAAAATTACATTTTTTCCCTCACCTAAACCATCATTAACTTTCCTAATTGTTCAGCTTCTCTGGATCTTAAAAGATTTTCTCAGAGCCTCATGGATCTGCTTGGTCTTCAGACTGTACACAACTGGGTTGAGCATCGGAGGCACGAAAAGGTAGATATTCCCGAGGACGGCGTGTGCTATTGGAGAACTTCTTAAGCTGATTCGATGCATTGCAGTAATTGCCAGGAGAGGGCCATAATAAATAAACACAATAAAGATGTGCGACAGACAGGTGTTGAGTGCCTTCAGCTGTCCTTCTCTAGAAGCAATACCCAGCACTGCTCGAAATATCAGAGCATAAGAAATGGCTATGAGTAGAAAGTCAATCCCAAAAGAAAGGATAACCAAAACCAACCCATACAAAATATTGATTCTGACTTGCCCACAAGCTAGCTTCATGACATCAGGGTGGAGACAATAGGAATAGGAGAGTGTCCGGCCCTTGCAGAAAGGCAGCCGCTTTAGCAGGATGGGCAGTGGGGTCATGAGAGCTGTGGCCCTCAGCAAGGCCGCCAGGCCCATTTTGGTGACTCGCGAGCTGGTAAGGATGGTGGTGTACTGCAGGGGCTTGCTGATGGCCACGAAGCGGTCAAAGGCCATGGCCAACAGGATCCCTGAGCCCATGGAAGAGGAGGTATGGATGAAGAAGAGTTGGGTAAGGCAACTGTCAAATGCGATTTCGTAGAGACCAAAGATAAAGACCTTGAGCACTGAGAGAAGTGTGGAGACAGTCAACACAATATCAGCCCCAGCCAATATGGACAAGAAAAGGTACTGAGGCTCCTGAAGGCTCCGTTCTTTCCTCACCAAGAATATCACTGTGCAGTTTCCTACCATCGTAATGACGTACATCAGGCTCAGGAGTGGTCCCAGCCACAAGCGGGAGCCTGCTAACCCTCGGAGGCCTGTGAGGGCGAACAGAGAAGGCTGAGAGGCTGTGGTGTTGAATTCCGACATGGAAAACATCGAGAAGCTCTGCTCAAGAACACTTTTCAGACACATAACCTAAGGAGGAAAAAGTGAAATGTCATATTGAAAGGACGGAAATGTCGATAAATGGCCCTGTTGATTGCTAAAGACGAGGAACAAAAGACTTACAGGGAATAAAATGACACAAGATTTGGTTCTTTCTAATAAGCTAGAACTTTTATTAGAAATTATCTATGAGCAACAAAAGTTATTAAAAAATTATTGATAAAAAATGTAAATACCAAAATAAATAATCCAAAACTTAAACTAATAAAATATGAGGGAGAAAGACGATCAGGACAGGGATAATTGGACAGAAAACATATTTAGACTATAAATCTAAATTTTAGATATATAACCTACATTTTTGAGGATAAAAATATGCAATTATGTAAGAAGAATAATATGAAAGGTTTATGCACAATATTTTAAGTATGTGAACAAATCAATAAGCAAAATAACAACATGAAGGATATGGGTATTTTTTTTAATAATGAAGGACAGAAATAGGCCTGTATTTCACATCCGATGAAGGTCATAAAATCAGGTACATTTTCATCTGTTACACAAATAGAAAATTATTAAACTTTAGACATTTCATAATATCTATAATTTATGTATTATCACACGACAGGATTGCTACATTCTGATCTATGAAGATAAGAAAAAGGAATCTGTTAACTTAGAAACCTGCATCTCTTTAAATCCTGTGTTGGTTATCTCAAATTTCACTTTTTAAACAATAAAATATATGCTTTTGAGTCCTATAAAGAGTCCATTTTCTAATATTTCTCATGTAGCTCAGTTCCCCTTGAAAAATCTCTCAGTATAAATTATGTTTTTATCTTCTCTTTGGAATCCATTTATACATCATTTAAGCCATGGCATATTTATTGCACACAGACTGTAGGTAAGGGGTTGTTTTATGCTCTGAGGATACATTGAAAAAGCATCTCTTGTTTTTAATAGTGCACATTATTCTGAGAGAATTTATTCCTCAAACTTCTTTCATCTAGATATCATTACTAAAAATAACTTGAAGAAGTGTATCATATTAAAGTACGGTCATATAAATAGTATGACAGAAGTCTGATCATACTGATATTTGTAAATGGTAAGCTAAGTGACCTATTTTCTATTGTATCAAGATACAATAGAATGTTTTAAAGTGTCTAAGAAGAAAACTAAATTGAGCAGTTTTCATTCCTTGTAAAGTCATTCTAATATGAGAGAACACTTTTACTAGATATACATAGTTATTTTCCTAAGAGTAAAAAGTTTAAAAAATTACAGGTACAATTTGGATTACTGTAACAGTCAATAGGGGAGATTTCCACTTCTCTCTTCAAAACTTACTGATATTCACTACTCTGCCAAACTACATATATGTCTAGGGGCTAAGATACTACATTTAACTCTTTGAACAGTATATAGAATTAGATTTCAGAAGCAAATACAGCCATTTCCAGACTTCCTTACTGACAGAATCCAGGTATTACATTAACACAAAGATGTTTCTATGAGTATGTAGAATGAAATAGATCACCTGAAAGGTATTAGGAAAAGGCATAGGGAAAGGAATACTGCCACTCAGAAGAGAGACTGAGTAACCGCCCTCTGACTATGTTTGAGAGAATACCTGGAAGTGTAGCCCAGGTTAGAGAAGCAGAGCGCTTGGTTGATTCACATACATTTTCGATTAAGAAAAGTTGCCATGGATTCTGTGTGGAGAATGACTTATAAAGAAAGGACTGGATGAGAATAAATACATTTTGAGCCTATTTCCAGGGAAAAAATGAGGGTTAGGGCATATTTGACTATATAAAGAAAAGCCATTGAGTTTATGCCATTATTTTGGAGGAGTGTGACACAGTTCTTTAACCCCAGGTGCCCAACTAAAGCCTCCCAATTTCACTGAAAGTTATATTGCACTAATTACAAGTCATACCCTTCAGCAGAGGTGGTGTGGCAGATGAATGGTACCCCAGAATAGACTCAGTAGACAAACATCAATGAAATGAAGTTTTACCTTTATTCCAAAGGGCTTCATGAGCTCAAGAAAAAGAAATGTAATCATTACATTCTGCTTTTCAGTTTTTCTTCTCCTTCCATATGCTGGGTAGATTCCACATCACTCCAATGTTTTAATTTACCTTGGTGATTTTGGCTGAGAACATGGTTGGGCTGGCACAGCCCTTTCACTGACTGAATTTTTATGGGAGTATTTATTGCTTTGGTTATGGTCCCAAAGGTATTGAATGAAAAATTTCAGTCCTTCTCCCAGGGGTCTCTCTCATGTCCCTGACTCTCCCTCCCTCCCTCTGAGCTTCTCCTGCTCTCCAATTTTAGTTTTGTCAGTAAAACGCAAATGCATAAAGCACACATTCTTAGCACAACAATTGTTCTAGTATTTTTCACATTTTTAGACTCTGTGAGATTAATGGGGGTAAAAAGTTGTTTAGGAATCTTCAACCACAGGCTTCTCAAACATAAAGTTACTTGATGACTCTGAGGTTGGAGCAGACAGAGAAATCCAGTTATTAATTATCAGACACAAACAGATGTTAAAATCTTAATGAGATATTTATGATAGCTGGTTTTCTTTGTGGTGATTTGAAAGGAAAAAAAGACAAGATTCAGATATGCCTTATTTTCTTATTCTTTTAAAATAATTTTATTGAGATAGAAGTAGCAATGACAGTTTCCAAACAGGTTAGTAGGACAGTTACAATAATTAATACATTGCATATTGTTATCTTCATTATTCATAGTATAAGATGCAGGCATAATATCTTCTCTAAACACTATTAGTTCAAAATGTTCTTCTCATTGTACTAAGAGAAAGTAGCTGTATATCTGTGCTAACTATTTTGTATATACAGATATATATCTATATCTATCTATCTATCTATCTATCTATCTATCTATCTATCTATCTATGTTTACTACAAAAGGGAACTTCATTTATATCCCCCTTTTTTGTTTACTTTGGTTAGAGATGGGTGTTTCATTGCCGTTTATATATTGTAAGTGCATGAATTCAGCAAAGTCATCCAATAATGATGCCTTATTTTCTAAGATGAGTCCTGATATACTTTAAAAAATCATTACTCAATAATGGACAATCAATTGATACATTATAATGAATCTAAAAATCACTAGTGAACAAGGGATTTAGAGGAGTCAAGTGATTTTGAAATTAAAGGTGAAAAGATTACAGTATGTTATTTTAATTGTCATCATCATGTCATCATAGCACATGGGAGGTAGGAGCACAAGGATTGTCACACAGTTTATTACAACACATTAGATTGTTCAGATATAGACCACATATACATGATAGATTTTTGGCAGTTATATCAGGAGAATTTAATAGGTAAAATCTGATCTTTTTCAACGAATATTGATGGTAGAACAATAACTGCATTTGGTAAAATAACTGTATTCCATATACAAAATTAACTATAATTAAAATTAGACCTAAGTTTGAAATGTAACATAACAGGGGCTGAGGAGATAGCTCAGTAGTCTAAGCTCCTGCCTGACATGTGCAAGTAACCAGGTTCAATGCCAGGTTCCTGATGGCATGCCAGCCCCGGAACCCTGGTGCTTGCCTGCCATGAAACAGGCCAGGATGGTGCACGCCTGTAATCCCAGCACTGGGGAGGCTGAAACAGGAGGATCACTGAATCCAAGTTGCATAGCAAGACTCTGTACCAAATAAATAAAGAAATAAAAGATGAAAAAAAAATTAAAAAAAAAGAAAACTAACATACTAAAAACTCTGGGAGATAGTCTCATAGAAAATATTTTTAATCCTTGGTTAGAAATGATTTATATTTTAAAAGATTAAAAAAAGAACTAGTGTTTTAGATTTCAAAAATACTTTAAAGTAAAAGGCGAAAGATGTATACGATCTGAAGAGAAACCAGAGTATGAAAGTATACTGTTATGTGAAAAGCATGAATACGAAAACAAAGATAAATAGATACTGAAAGAAAAGTATGTTTTGAAGTGACACAAAGTTCAATACTACAAATGCTCTTAAAATGCAGTCATAGTGCTATGGCTGGAAAAAATGATAATAGTGCTGCATTTACTACACTTATAAATTCAATTTGTTTTTTATTATTACATTTATCATCACCATTTAGATATGCGGAGTGATCACGCTCATCATGTGAACTTGCACCTGAATGGAGGTCTTAGGATTGTTTTTTTAAATGTATTTAGGACAGGGTGTATGGATCTCACTACACAGATCAGACTCTTAGTGATCCTCCTGTTTTCAGCCTCCCAAGCACTGGGATTACAGGCGCACGCCCCCATGCCCAGTCTCAATCGTTGTCTCAGAGAGCCCTGGGGATGGGGCCGGCATGGCACTCCAGGGATTGAACTCCTGGAACTCTTGGCAGGTGTAGAGAGTCACCAAAGCTGGCTGTGGTGGCACACGCCTGTAATTCCAGCGCTGAGGAAGCTGAGACAGCAGCATCACTGTGAGTTTGAGCTGTGTAGCGAGACCCTGTACTACATAAATAAATAAATAAATAAATAAATAAATAAATAAATAAATATTTTTTTTCTTTTCTTTTTTTTTTTCCCCTGTATGTTAGGGAAGGAGCTACAGGGTGTTCATGGTCTCACTACTAGATCAGACTCATAGTGATTCTCCTGTTTACAGCCTCCCAAGAGCTGGGATTACAGGCGTGCGTCAGCACGTCCAGTCTCAATTGCTGTCTCAGCGCGCCCCAGGGCCGGTACAGCAAGCCTGGGTATCGAACCTCAGACCCTGAGCCTGTTTGCGGGTGCTTTAGTCTGCTGAGCTATTTGGCTGGCCTAAGCTATTTGGACAGCCTCGATTTTAGAGCTTACATTAGTTAGGTTGGGACTCATTTCAGAACAAATAATTCTGTAAAATTTACTATGAGAATTCCCCATATGTAACTACAAACTGAAATCTGGTTAAAATAATTTATAATTATATGAAT